CCGCCTGACGCCGCAGCAGAAGCAGCAGCAGCAGCAGCAAAAGCCGTAGAGACAGCAATAGCAGCAGCAGCAGCAGCAGCGACAGCAGCAGCAGTAGCAGCAGAGTGGATTTGACTAACCTCGATTTGCACAAACTCTCCATGGATAGCCTGGCCTCTGTTCTGTTTTCCTGCAGCAGCAGCAACAGCAGCAGCAGCAGCAGCAGCAAATCAAAGACACCTGAGTGCTCCAAACCCCACATGGGAAACTTTTAGGCAACAGCTGCGCAATCAGCAGCAACGGCAGCAGCAGCAGCAGCAGCAGCTCCATGCGCCACATCAATAGCAGCAGCAGCAACAACGGCAGCAGCAGCGGCAGCAGCAGCAGCAATGGCAGCAGCAGCAGCAGCAGCAGCAACAGACCCTTGATAAGCACATCTGGTAGTCCATCCTTGACATCAACAAACGCGTCTTCGGGATATTTGTGGTTTACATTCAGGCGGCCCTGCAGGGGCACCCACCCGAGGGTTTAGGGTTTAGGGTTTAGGGTTTAGGGTGTTGAGATTAGGGTTTAGGGTTTTGACATTAGGATTTAGGGTTTAGAGTATTTGACACACCCATAAGCAGCCCGGCCGGCTGAATCTTTCGACTTGGCCAATCAGGGCCTCTGGGATAACTTGCTGCTGCTGCTGCTGCTGCTGGGCCTGCCGTTGCTGCTGCTGCTGCTGCCGCTGTTGCTGCTCTTGCTGTTGCTCTTGCGGCGGCCGATGCAGTTGCTGCCCGCGCTGCTGCTGCTCGGGCTTCTGCTGCATCTGTCGCTGCTGCCGCCTCTGCTGCTGCTGCAGCTGTGCCTGCTGCTGGTGCTGCTGCTGCTGTGGCTGCCGCTGGTATCGTTGCTGCTGTTGCTGTGCTCGCTCCTGCGGCGATTGCTGCTGCTGCTGCCGTGGCTGCTGCTGATACTGTCTTTGCTGCCCCAGATCCTGCTGCCGCTGCGGGCGTTGCGGCGAGCTTCGTTGCTGCTGCTGCTGTTGCCGTCGCTGCTGCTGCTGTTGCTGCTGCTGCTGCTGCTGCTGCTGCTGCGGCTGAGGCTGCCCAGCAGTTGCTGCTGCTGCCAGGGGTGTGGACCCCTCAGAGTCGACTGCCATCGTTAGGAGGGGGCAGACGGCCTGGGGTTTAGGGTTTGGGGTTTAGGGTTTACAGTTTAGGGTTTAGGGTTTGCATTGAGCTCAGCAGCTGAGAGCTTCTAGGCAATACCGGGGTTGTGGTGAAGTTAATAAAGTTATATTCAGAAGTTGTCAAAGTTTAGGGTTTAGGGTTTACAGTTTAGGGTTTAGGGTTTAGGGTTTAGGGTTTAGGGTTAGGGTTTAGGCGGAGTCGGCTGCGCTGCTGCTGGGGGCCGCCTGCACCCCAAGACCACCGGGGGGTCCCCGGCCAACCTAGGGTTTGGGGTTTAGGGTTTAGGGTTAAGAGTTTCTTAATTTTTCACAATTTGAAGGGTTTAGGGTTTAGGTTTTAGGGTTTAGGTTCCGGTGTTTAGGGCATATAGCCTCTATGGTTTGTGTGCAGGGATTACGGCTCGTGCCTAGGGTTTAGGGTTTAGGGTTTAGGATTTAGGGTTTGCATTCATTGCTTTGTTCCTGCAGCAAAAAACTGAATTTATTTTCATTCTGCGCTGTGTGCTCTGCCATTTACTATTCACGCAAGCAGCTCAAAACCCTAAGCCCCAAACCCTAGCCGTAAACCCTAAACCCTAAACCCTAAACCCTAAACTGTAAACCCTAAACCCTAAACTTTGACAACTTCTGAATATAACTTTATTAACTTCACCACAACCCCGGTATTGCCTAGAAGCTCTCAGCTGCTGAGCTCAATGCAAACCCTAAACCCTAAACTGTAAACC